CAAAACAATTCTAAACACGCCCACAAACTAGCACAATTGCAACAATTGATCGAAGCTGTTCCACTAAGTCTGTCACAATTCTGTGCCCCAGAAAACCATTATCTTCATTTCCCTTTCTCTTCCCTCTCTTGTATTAACAGCCAGCCTCTGCTTTGTCATTCCTTCAGTCTCCTGTTTCATCCAGTTCAGTTCTGACATGGAGATGAAGATGAAGAAAGGCTTTTAGGCTGAATCACTAAGAACAAAAAAGAAGAAATAATCATATTGCTGCATCTTAAAGAAGCTGCAGCTCCACAGAAGGGCTGGCTAAAAGAGACTCAGGGGAATGCTTTGCATGCTGCAGTTTATTCTCTTAACAGCTCTCAAGGTTAACACTTTTCACTCCCATTTTTTTCACTCCGCTCTCATTTTTGTCTGTCCTCGGTGCAGATTCTTTTTTCTTCTAGAATGGAGTGAAAAAAGTATTCAGGTAAAGTATTAAAGTAACAAAATAAAAAAAAATGGGCACAGAGTTTTGTTTATGAGACTCCACAACTGTCTCGCAGCCATAAACCGTAAATCACGCCTGCTTAGACGCAGAAGGTCATGGGTTTGAGTCCAAGAGGAGCCACCAACTGGCAGCCTACTGCAGCAGATCAACTGGTAACACAACAGTTTCCTTAGTGTGGTGTCAATAAAAATCCAGTTATTATTAGTGATTCCATAGTGTGTGGTTATCGCGCCTGCCTTACATGTAGAAGGTCCTGGGTTTGAGCCCCAGAAGAACCACACGGCGCTCTCCTGTGGCAGCCTGTAGGGGTTGCTAAGAATCACACTGGATTCTTTTATCCACCAGGGGGCAGAATACATGAGATCAGTTTTTAAAGGAATTGATCATTTTAATTGATCATGTTGATGATCTGTAGGTCTCAGGATCGTACGTATCAAATATGGTTCAAATGGATTTATAGAACCAGGGGTTTGACATCATCAGATGTGACTCAGCTCTGGGCTGTAATTGCATCTGAATATGATTGATTTGTTTACTACACCAGCGTGGCTGTAGTCAGGTCACAATCCCTTGGATGTCGTCAACCCCAAGATAATCTGACAATCTACTTTACATCAGGCAGCCTATCAGGCAGCCCCGACTCATGACTGTGAAGCCCAGCACACAGGTGTTCAAATGTTCAAATGTTGTATTCAGTGAAAAACAGATAAGGCATGAGGCTTCTGGTTCACCATGTTTTCCTGAGCAAAGGAAGCTAGGCTACGAGCACGTCACCCAGTTTAATTTGGAATCCTCGCTGCACTCACAAAGGAGGTCAGACAAGGAGAAACAAGTTGTCAGACGTAGTAAAAAGAGATTCGTCATTTCTCCCCGATGACTTTAGACGATATGAAGGCTTTTTCTTCTGGTTCTCTACCGTATGTGGGTTCTACCTGGACCATGTATTGAAGCTGCCTTCCTGTGGTTACAGTTGGAGAATGAACCACCGAGCGCCGCTGCCCTGCACGCACATCTGTTCACTGTTTGGAAGCTGGACGCCATTCTGACTTTAATTGGACCAAAATGGATTCTCCTGTTGAACTCACTGGGCCGTGGTCAACAGGGCAGCGAGGTCCAAACATTGGCACGGAGCGAGGTTGTTTTGTGGTGACTGGTCCACCAGGACACAGCTGTGTCGCTGATTGGTATTAACAATCGCAGGTAGTTAAATCAAAGTACCACGGTCGCCTCCTGAGTTAACATGAACATGAATGAACACGTGGGAGAATCAAACTTTTTCATACGTGTTCAACATGATCATTCATTATTTTTCTGTGCCTCACGCTGCCGCGTTACATTTCAAAGCATTACTTGTCATCACGCAGCGTCAGCAGAGGGAATTGTGGGTTGACAGGCGGACATACTGTAGGCCCTACAGTCAGACCCTGACTGTGGTCTGTCTGTGGCTGTGGGGACATTGAGTCCACTACAGGGTGGAGACTTTGCTTCAGCCACAGGCACTGGTCGGTTCATCAGCTGGTTGTTGTGTTGACCAGTGAGCAGGTTAGTATCATATTATAGCAGGTCATTTACTGAAGTGTTGGTCTCAGTGGAACGGTTCACATTAACGTTGTTTCACTGACTTCATCTGCTGTCAACAGTTGGGCTTTTT